ATAATAACATTATTCATTTATATATATTTACAATAAAAAGTTATAATTATAATTATCTATTAGCACTCTTTACGGATTGTGATGATCGAATGATAAACGAAATCAAAAAGAATAAATAAATTAATAATACATCTAACTCTAAACATTGTTATCATAGGGATGGCAGAAGCAGCTAAAAATTATTGTAGAGCTTCTTATAAAATTGGAAAAGAAATAATTGATAAAGGTTTAGATAAAGTAAGAAATAAGTCAAAAGTGTTGGCAAACTATTAATTCATTATCACTTCTGCCTTAAGCGTTAGCTTATACTTCTATGCTTTTGGAAAATATCTCTGTTGAATATGGAGTAAAGGCTGAAAAATGCCTTCTTAATATACCCTTCTCAAGAAATATCCAATAATATAGTGGATACCTATAATGCTGTTTTAGCCACTCATATGACTTAAGATTATTTGTGACTCTTTAATAATGCTTGATAACCAATTAATGTCTAAATCTATAGGTTTACAGATTGGTTTGGATTATGTTGATTATACTCACTTAATTAATTTAGTATCTATATTATGTATTTAATCTACACCATCAATTCCTACTAATTGAGAATCCTTATAAAACTGCTAATTTATTTTTATTTGCAGTAAACAGTAGATAAAAAAAGGCAGGAAGAAATGCAAAATTGTTATTGATTTGAAGATGCTTAATTGTTTAAAGTATAAAATGATGAAATTAAAGAATATATCATAAAAAAAAAGTTAATAATTGATATTTGATATTAATAATATTTTGTATAACTATCAAATACCAATTTATTAAAATTATATTTAGTTTTACAAAATAAAACCTCCTCTTTATTGAAAAAATCATATTAAATTTTCACCCCAAGAAGTAATAAATTAGCTTTAGAAAATGATAGTATCATATAATTAAGTGATAAGTAATATAGATATAAGTAGAATAGTTACAAATGTAGCTAAAAAATAAAAACAATGAATATATTAAGGGGGAGTTTTCTTAATTTTTGTCCTGTAAATTATCTAAAACTTTCCTTTTACCCATTTCCTTCGTGTTAAAATTTTTATCCCATCTTTACATCCTATATTCTGATAGACTAATCATTACTACCTGAAATTAATTTATTTCCATCAGGAGAGAAACAGACTGAGTTGACCCAATTAGTATGACCATTTAATTTGGCTGTCTATTATCCTGTTTTGAAATCTAATAATCGAATAGAGTTATCATTACTACCAAATGCTAATTTTATTCCGTCAGGAGAAAAACAGACTGAATTGACATGATTAGTATGACCTTCCAATTTAGCTATTTTTTTCTTACTATTAACATCCCATAAACTAATAGAGTTATCTGCATTCCTAGTTGCTAGTGTATTTCCATCACGATAGAAACAGACTGACATGATGACACTAGTTTGACCATCCAATGAGACTTTTTATTATCCTGTTTTTAGATCCATAGTCGAATAACATTATCTTTACCCTCTGAATCTCCACTACCAGATGCTAGAGTATATCCATTAGGAGAAATACAGACTGACCTAACAGGACTATTATTGCCATATAATTAATATAATTCAAGAATTCTAATGTTTTCCCATTTACAATTTAATAATAATGCTCTATTTAAATTCATTCCACTAATGTTAACATTATCAAATTCAGATCCGCTTAAATTGCATCCGTATTTTAGATCTTTATATTTGGAAAATTTTTGTTTGTAAGGTTCACCTTCATCTAAACTAATATATTTAATGAATTAGACCCGCATTATATGAAAGTGTTATCTATAGATGTGAAGTAAACTAAAAATAACATAAGTTCTATGATCCATCAATTATCCTTAAAACTATTAATTAGATCTTGCATAGATATTTTATAGGTATAGTCTTTCTTGCTAAAGTCATGATTTTTTATTTATTTGAGAATATTTTTAATTTTCATCATTGGTAATATTGTAATTGATAATTTAATTATCTTTATTTTCATTATAATTGAATTCTAATAATTTTCATCCCTTTATTTAACTACACATTAATAACATAAATCTCAAAGTTAAACTGCCTTAACATTTACACAAATTGAGCTCAAATTAAGTTTGATTATAATTTTTCATTTAACAATTAATCTTATAAATATTCGTTCTATTTTTATATATATTGAGAAGTTAGATCCATATTTTTATAATAACTGCTTATGTACATTAGAATACTTTAATGATGTATTAATTCTAATACCAAATGTTACTTTCTTAAAAATCTCTATTATTAGAAGGAAAAAATTACTCAATTTAGAACTTTCATTGATTAATTTTAGCAGTGAAGAAAATTTCTTTTTTCAAATTTTATTTCTTAAATAGGATAATATTTTTAAAGAAATATCTTTTTGATAATTTTAATCAAATTTTAATATACAGTAATTGTTCTTTTTGATCAAAATATAGACAGAAATATATTAACTTAAAAATTTAATATATATTCCTTAATCTTACAGAATTTATAATCATAATTTTGATATTGTGGAATAGATATTTTATAAATAAATTTATGTTTTGGCTATCATTTTCTGAAAAAGCCTTCAAAAATAATTATAAAATTAAGGATGCTATTATTTGTATTAAAATTTTATAAATCTTTATTTTGCTCAATTTTAAATGCTAAATTTGATTTTCTTTTCTCTTTTCTAATTAACTTATGTTTTTATCACAAATTATTTTCCTTAAGGATATTATTAGAAGATCAATAGGCTTTTTTAATAAATATACCTTTAAAATTTATATATTAATTTAAAATAAAATAATATGTAAACTTAATCTATTCATACAATTTCTATGAATTGAAAGATTTGAATAAGAAGAAAAATTGAATTTTAATGAAAAACTCTTAAATGTTGTAATTTGGCCTAAATTTAATCCTATTTATATGTTTCTAAGAATAAAATAGATCTTCTTATTACTCGACCATTTTTGATTAAATTATTTATAATTAATTAAAAAAATTAATATCGCTTAGACTCTTAAATTCATATCATTAATATTAAAAGAAAGATACGAAATTTTGAATGGAACCAATGTTAAATGCAATATAATGGAAATAGAATTTAATTATAGAAACTTGAAATTTTGTTATGTGGAAATATTTATTTTGTTTGAGTTTTAGAAAAATGAAGGGAAATAATAAACAGAATTATTAACTATTTAATTCAATGTAGTAAATTCCGATTGAATGTCAATAATTGAGATCATTAGCTTTCAGATTATTATAAAGGGCTCATTTTAATAGAATATTTGGAAAGGTCATCCAAATTTGAGTCAGATTGTATCAATATCATCATTATTCGTTATACACTAGGCTTTACTCAAGAATTTCAATCTATAAAATCTTCTAAGAAATTGACTCCTTCAAATACAAAGTAAATAAGAATTACTACTCCAGAAAACTTGCTCTTAAAATTATATTATTGAAATATTTAATTTCCTAATTATTAATGATTGCTAAAATTCTTAATTTACCATCTAATAAAAACTAAACATAGAGTGGCTCTAATTTAAATTTTTCAACATCCATACTTTCTAGAATATTGACATGAATATAAAAGTAAGCCGCCTAAGATATATCTTACAAAAAAACATTTTATTAACAGTTCCATTTTCAATATCTACCTTCTGAGGGGAATTTATGATGAATAACTATGAAAAATTGATTTACTTTAAATAGACTATCCAAAGATTTAGAAGTTTATTAATTATAGAACCTTCTCAAATTCACCAACCAATTTTAATATAATCCCTTTTATCTCTAATATAGGAATATGATTGCTAAATTAACTCCTTATATGAGTTTATGTTAAAGATTTTCGATCAAGATTATATCATCATTAAGTATTTGACAATTCAATTTTTAGAATTGCTCTTCCTTAAAATAGAAACTTTAAATTTAATATTTGATTATATTATGAATTCAAAATGTTTAAAGGCGAACATTCAAAAAATCTGCTTAATTTGAGGCTCTAATTTACTTAAACTATCAATATTCGAAGAGTAGATTAGCCTATGCAGTTTCTTTTGGGAGAGATAAAAGATCTAGGTTGTCCACCTATTACATGAGTTTGAATAGCTCTAAGTACTTTTTAATAAGTATTTAAGGTTGGTAGATAGTAGGAGCAAAACTAAAAAATACTCCAATTCAATCTATATAAAAAAATCCTTGTTTACTAATCCTATCAAATTATCTGAGTAGTCAGAGAAGTTTTTCAAAACCTGGGTATTATAGCTTGTTGATATTTGAGTTCTGTATCTTACTATTTATCTTTGATTAAGTCTTAGAATGTTCTATAATATGAAAGATCAATCATATGATCTGTTTGTATAGTTTACCTTGTAATTTTTACAATCCCATATCTGAAGCATCAAGTTCTAAAGTGAAAATGGAATTATTATTATTTAAAGTAATTTGGCATGTCTGGGATTATATTTCCTATAATTTGATAGAAGTTTGGAAACTATCAATATTCAATTCCCTTATTTCCTTAGATATGTATTCTCTGATGGATAAAACTATTGGAAAACTTGGATAAAGTATATATTAATACAAAGAAATTCAATTATCTGTTGTATAGTTATTATATTTTACCATCTAACAAATATCAAAGGTAACTTTGAGTATAATGTAATTTTAATTATTACGAGTCAAACAGCCAAAATTTAAAAATATTTACAAGAAATATAGGCTAAATGAATTAATTATTTGAAGATGACCACAAAAAATTGAAGATCTCGAGCAAAAACAGTCCGAATAGAATAACACACAAAAAGAAAAAAATCACCATTTACATTTACAGCTTTTTTCAAAATATGATCTAATTGGAATTTAAACAAAATAACAGTCATATTTGATTTGAGGTAAAATAATTTTGCATATTAAGAAGAATTTATTGCATTCATCATAAGTTTCAGAAAAATATTAAATTAAAATTAAATTTAAATTATATAATAATTTTAATATTTTAATTATATAAAATATTATAATAAACCAATAAATAATATTCTGCAATAAAATTTAAAAATTAGTAATTTTCTATTGAGAAATTGTATTCTTTTGAGTTTATTACTTTCCAAAATCTTCCATGAATTGATATATTATTTACCATTTTTTGGTGATTATTTTTGTTTTTTAGTTTAATTTGAGTAAGCCTGAATGATCGAAGTAAGTTATATGAAAAATAGATTTGTCAATAATTTTAGAGATAACTAAATTTGATTTTCATTATGATTATTTTTTATATTAATTCGAAGTGAAAATCCAAATTCAATTTTCTTATTATTATAAGTTTAACAGAAATGATTAAATAAAAATTAAATTAAAATTAAAAATTAAGCACTTCCAGAACCATTTAGACAAACCTTTAGCCGTAAAAAGGGTCACAAAGACTATCAGCCCCGGAAACCCAAGGAAAAAGGAGCCCGAATGATTTCTCCATGCAGGTTCAAGTAATATTGGTCGTCTTTCGAACGCAAGAATCGGGAGGGCTTTGAGAGAGTGGGTATGCTCGGTCAACTTCGGGAGTGGGGATTAATCCATTTGATAAAGAAACTGTCGTATTGACAAAATTGAATTGAGTTGTGACACTCTACATATACCCCATAATATTCTTATTATTATGATTGAATCTTTATCTAATAATTAATTTGTGATGTTGCAATTATCTGAATTTTTTTTTAGAACAGTTTTTTTTGTTTTAATATTTGATCAATTTAAATGAGGAGCATTTTAAGAATTTTATAATTGAATTGAATAAGAGTATTTAAATATTAAAAGAATTAACACATAAAGAATAAAATATGCAATAAAAAAAAGCAATACAACAAAAGATAAATAATAAATAGTAAAAAGTAACCAGATTCTTTAAAATAAAATGTAGCTGATCCTAGAGAATTTTGCTCCTAATAGTTTTCTAAACTAAAAATCCTGTCAACATGATTAAATCTTTAAGTAAGAATAAAATTCAAATAAATGATAACATAAAATAATGACTAAAATATTCTGGGAAAACTATTTCTATTAAATATTAACAGTTTTGGGAAGGGACTTTAAAGAATAAATGCTTTAAATAGTATGACAGTAGGAATAGAATAAGAGGGTTTTCTTTGTTTCAAAATATTATAAGCAACAAAAAATTAAATTTAAATTCTTTTGGAAAATTATATCAATAAGACAACGATTTTTGTTTTAAATATTTGATTCATACTTTATCAGATCTATTTATTAGATGATATTAGATTTTAATTTCATTTTTTTAATATAATAACGGATAACTGGAAAATGTTGAATTAAAAAAATGATGTGGAAGTAGAAAAGAGTTATGTTAGAATAATTAGAATGCTTTAATGTCTCTTTAAATAATAAATAGTTTTGATTATACTAAATTACTAAAGTTAATCTAAAATTTTGTAAGACAGACAAGATAAAAGTTTACTTAAATATCTACACTAGGTCTGGTAAGAGATTCCTAATTTAGCAAACTAAATCTCCCGAAATATCTATAAATTAGGCGATTATTTATAAAGAAATAATTTGAATGATCATAAACAATATGGATTTGAATTAGGACTCCATTCGTTGGATTAATTAAAGCTTTATTGATAAAAATGATTCACTTAAGCTTAAAGTTAAATGAATACTTCTATTTAAATATAATCTAGGCAACTAATTACACTATTTGAAATGTTCTTAGGAAGCCATTGGATGCCGTGACAAAATGTATAGATTAAAGATATATCAAAGAATTCGTTGCTCTTAAATTTGATTGTATCATAATAATTTGGATTGATCTACAAGACTTTGTCACCACATCCAATGGCTTCCTAACATTGATTTAAATAGTCTAATATTAAGCCTAATTACAATAAACAGGGGATACTTATTTAACCTTATTTTTAAGCGCATTATAATCATAAAGATTGATCTAAAAATCTGTTTCAATTATGATTTAATTTAAGTAGCATTATTAGTTAATTAATATAAATATTATTATAATTCATACAATAATTTAATATAATTCTTTCAAAAATATGAACAGACAATTGATTGCTATATTAAAACTTGAATGGTTGATCAAAAAAATTAATATACATCAACATTAGCTTTAGATTAAATGTGGAAAGTTTGATCAAAAGAGATATCATCAATATAGTCTACATAATTAATGTAAAACTCAAATGAATCAAAAAAGTAATGGTTTTATTTTATTTAAATTAATTATGAAAAACACCAAAATGTCTACAAAATCCCATTCAATAAAAATCAACTTTAAAGTAAGAAATTTTAGATAAATTTTAATTGATCATGATTGCCTGGGAAACTTTTGAAATCTTAAGTTCAACCTAAATTGCCTTTAATAATTGAAGGATAAGCTATATAGAAAATGATGAAGCTTCGAAATTTTAAAAATCAGATTGGTTAAGATGACACTGCCATTCCAAAATAAATTTAAAATTGCTGAAATCGATTACTTATTTACTTTAAAGATCTTGTATTACCTTCATCTGCAAGAAGTACAAGAGAAGAGTATGTATCTGAGTTGTTGCTCCCTTAAATTAACTGTTGTATATATGATGATTATATGTGAATGTAATTGAAGCACAAGTTAATATTACTGAAATTCAGAGTAGAAAAGTGATTTAAAAATAGAAAAACCTGCATTTGTTATTCTTAATCAAAATGAAAATGGTATTGATGAACTTTGCCAATATGCGAGAACTATATTTTTTAATTTTTGCATATAAAAAGAATCAATTCATTTTAATGATGGAGACAGTAAATGTCTTTAAGCTCAAATTAAAATCTGATGATGTAATTTGATTATTTTAATAAACCTCCTAAATTGAATTTTTCATTATTAATTAATTTGAGTTTATCAGTATAAAATATGATTTCATTAAAAAATCCCAAAAAAAATTATTAATACTTACTCAGATATAAATTTCTAAATTAAAGCAAAATTCTTGAAAATATCTTAATAGTATTCCTATCCATTTATAATTTTTTTATGTAGTCCTAAAAATTACCATAATACGATGATCAATTATTGAAATAAACTACAATTAGTAGTCTTCATTACGTTTAAAATTTATTTTTATTACCTAAGATATATCTATTGTGTAATCCAATATTTATTTATTTTTTTTTCATAAATTCAAATTGATTGTTTTTTTGTATAAGCCTTCGTGAGATCTTAAAATTAAAAATTTAATTAAATTAAATTAATAGAAAGTTTATTTAATAATACTTTTAAGAAATTAACATCAATCGTTTATTTTATTTCGGTTTTAGATATTCAATTATATATCTTAGTAAATTTCAAAAACACTTATATCATAAATATTATTAGCAACCTTCAAGAAAAGAAAATAAGCCTTTGTATAATAATAACAAAGGACCTTAAGAGCTAATTTTATGCTAGAACCTTAAATAGATTAAGGAAACCAACAATAATTTTAAACAGGATTACAGCCTTAATAACACATTTAAATTGGTATATTATTAGCGACATATTATTTCAACCTAACTCTAAGAGAAGCATTATATTATTAAAAAATTTTAGTAGTGCAATTATTCCCATTTTTAAGTACTAAATTATAATTTGCTTCTCTAATCCAAAAAAGTGCGATTTTCTTAGAAAAGTTAATCTTAGAGGAATTTTGGAACAATCAACAAACCTGAAATGTTCTTCTTTTATCTTTCTACTTTAAAAGTTTATGAACTTTTGTAAAATTTGATATATCAATTTCATAAAAATTATCTAGTTATTATAAAAATAAATTTGATTTAAAATATATTCAAAATAACATGTTTTAATTCCTCTACTACGAAGAACATTTTTATTTATTTAGATATTAATTTTTTTTTCCCATAAAAAACAATTCAATTCATTATAACCTGATAAGCAAGTTTAATTTGAAGTTACTTAATCAGTCTAATATTATGATTGATTTTATTTCAAAAGTAATTTGTTTTCTCTAATTAAATTTTCAGCACAAGCTTTCCATAATTCAGCCTTACAATCACTAAAAGTTCTAGAAAAAGAATATAACTTGTAAAACGAAGTCCCCAACCTGCCATAAAATTTTTATAGTTAATTATCCTTAGGGCTATAAAATATATAATGTAAGTTATTCCATCCAAACAATAAGATTATGAACACAGTCTCTTTTATCCCCATATTTCTCAAATTACCAATAAAATTAAATTTAAGTTAGGATTGATTATTGATAAATTTCTGATGGGTATATTAAGCAATTTATGAGAAAATATGCCAAGAGCGAAAAGATGCATTATATAGAGTAGAGAAAGCGAATGGATAGTCAATAAAATTAAATATTTAAAGATTTAATTATTCAATATATATAGATCGGAAATAATATGATATAGGAAGTAAAAGTTATTAGTTGATGTTGTAAAAAGTAATTTATAATTCCTTAACATAGTTGTTTAAATTTTAAATTTGCAATTAGAGTATCTAGATGATTTGAGCAAAGAAAAATTATTCAGCTTATCTTTTCCAGAATGGGTAACATATCAAAAGAAAATATTGATGAAATAAATGAGTAGGTCTTTAGTAAAAGCTGAGTATTAGTTATTTATAACAAAAAGCTATTTGCAGAAGTATTGAACACTAATTAATTGAAAAAAACTAAAATCAATAACTTAATTCAAGAAAAAAATAATAGATTCTATAATTAATAGATGCCTTTTATTTTATTGAAACCATCAATTCTCAAAAAGAGTTAGAACAAAAAAAATCGCTTCTGGTTGAAAAATCAAAGCTCAATTGAATAAATTAAGATTTGAATAAAGTAGCTAATCTGAAATTCAAAAGAAAAATAATCCTACTTTACCAATTTAAGGTGTGCTTTTGGTTTTAGTTTTAAATATTTATTAATAATTGTAGGTTAATTATCAAAGCTTAAAATTTATTATTTTACAACATTACCTAGACAATTAGGATAAATCAAAAGAATTCTAATATAATTCAAAATAGAGAAATTCATATTTCAATATCATCATCATTCTGTTATATTTATTATTTGAATATAAAATAGGAACACTCAGCAAAAATATTGGATCAAAGTAAAAGCCCTCAATTAGGTAATAATTGTAGCCTCTGTGAGTCTTCATAATACCAATTAAAAATTAGAGTTTCATGGTCTAATTAAATGATTTTCCACAATGACTAGTAAACTGGAAAAATGAATGTAGCTACACTTGTAAATGCAGTGATTATTTTAACTGTAATTGTGCCATAATTTAGATGAGTGGAATAAAATGGAAATAGAGATGAAAAATCTATCAAAAAGCGATATTCTAATTAATTGACTTTACGATAGAAATCATACGAGTCAAATAACTACGAAAATTAAATAAAATCATTTAGGAGACCTCGTTTATTTGCTGCTTTTACTTCAATTGCATATATATTTATCCCAATAGTTTAGACTTCAATACTTAATCACTAATTATTTATATTTCAATTTTTTTGCTTCACTAACCCACATCAAAAGCGACATCACAATTGTATTGTTAATTCTTGGAAGTAGATTTTTGAGATTTTTTCTGTAAATTCATAGAACTTTGGAAAATATCCAAAAATATAATAACTAGTATTCAACTGATGGTGATAATTGGAAAGTTAATCGTGATATTTGTATAACTAGAAAATCATTTAAGAATGTTTATTGAGGAATCTAAATTAGATATTAAATTGCTTAATTTCTTAATATTCTTAATGTAAATTAGCAACAATAACAATTTTATATATATAAATTTCAATTATTTTTTTAAGAAATTTGATAAATTTTGTTGATGATTAAATTTTCGTCGATGATTTCATACAAATACTTACATCAAAATATATTCAGGCTTGTTGAATATTTCTATCTCCCATCTATGATAGTTATAAGCTTTCATAGAGCAGTAGCGATTGCTTCTATTGTATCATTACTAAGATCATTTTGAATTTTAGTTATTTATCCAATAAAAGATGATTTAATTTATGATTCATTTACATTGATATAATATTGCCTTCATCAATTATCTTTAAAGTAAAAACTCAATCTGTCTTAGTGATTCTTAGATCAAACTTATATTTATTTATTTTAATAATTATTCCTAATAAGAAAGATATCAAAAATCATAAAATAGTTACAAATAGATTAATATGGTTACCCTTCCTTTGTTAAATTACTATAGGATTATTATAATAATAATCAATTATAGCAGTTGTTTGTTAACTATTTATTATATGAATTCTATCTGCAATTAATATTTAGTCATGGCCTAGTAATAGTAAAATAATACTTAAGATGTTGTATAATTGAAATTATTAGGATGAATATTGAATTTGTCAATTTAGATGAATATGGTAGAAAATATTAATATTTAAGTTTCATCATTATTTTAGACTCAGAAAAATAGGAAACATTTAGTATTTAAGTTGAGAAAATTATCTCTATAATAATTTTAAGCTAAATTTGAATTATCAAATATGAAAGAAAATAATTTTTAATTGTTAAATCACAATAATGTAGCCTTATTTGTAATTAATGTTAGTTCAATTAAAGTGCGCAAGTTCTCCTGATTATAAATGCAACTCAAAGGAAATAAAAGATTGCATCATTAAAATTCTTTATATATTACATTCAAAAGGATATTTTTTATATCAACATAAATCCTAGAATTATTTGATATTGAATGATTGTTTCAAATTTTGGAAGGCATCAAATAGTTCAATACTTATTAACACTAATAAGCATATTTTAAAGTTATATGATTTTAGATTTGATGTTATAACTTTCGCCTATAGGGTTCATTTGCTTATTTTCTTGTAAAAGGGCTATTTATTTCAACTTCTTCACATTTCCATTCCAAAATTTGATTCTTCAAATTTTGAAATCAAAATTAATGGCTTTGCCATTAAATTAAAAAAATATAACATTTTAATTATTTAATTATGCAAAAGGACCCAATTTTCTATGCCCAAGCTATATTCATTTTTTAGATTTGTTTTAGTATATTGAATTTTAAACCATTATATGATTTAAAAACTATGAATCCAGGTAGTTATATTATTTAAAGCCATTATAAAGAATATATTTTGATTTGCTAACGTTTATCATCATAATTGATATATAAAGTATAAAATAGTCATAAATTGTTTTTACCTGAAAATTCTTTAAATTTACATGATACTAATGTGCTTAAAATTATTAATTTGATTTCAATTCTCTATAATTTTTAAATAGATTACGATAAATAACTTTTGTATCATAATTTATTTTTTCATAATTTAATTAATTTTATAATAGATTTAGAAATAAAAATTTCATTTAATAATCTTAAGAATTTAAGAAAGACAATATTTTTTCATTATCTACAAAATTACTACTTTTAATCATCATAAAATACAGTTATAAAAATATGTTGCTTTATGGAAATAGAAGTGTACCTTTCATCCCATTTAATTATTATCTCCTTCATAATACTCTATATCCCTTTTAGGCTAGCTAAATAAATGATAAATTATAACTTAATAATATTATTTCTAATCCTTGATTTAGCTAATATAATTTTTATATTGAAAAAAGTATTAAACCTAAAAAAAAAATTTTTATTATTTTTTTAATAAACTTTTACATTTTTATCAAAACATAAAAATATAAAGATTCATATTTAAATTATTGAATTTTTAACTTCTTGTGAGTTAAATTACCTTTTTGAATACTTAGCTTGAATCGTAACATTTATTTCTATTTAAGAATCCTAAACTGAAAAAGATTGATGTACAATAATTTTAGTTATTCATAGCATATAAAATATAATATTAAAAAATTTCAATCTTATTAATCTATCCTAATATCAAATAATTAATCAAAAATAAATATCACAGAAAAAGGGAGTTGAAAAAAGTCTGAGTAAAATCCATGAAAATATGCCCTTCATTTTTCTATATCGTAGTAATCATACCAAAACTAGAGACTGGGTCATCTTTAATGTGTTTTCTTTCCTTTAATTGAAACAATAAAGGAGCTATTCTCTATATAAATTTATATCCTCTAATTTCATTTAATTTAAGGATATAATTGTGTAATTGGGAAACATCTATTCTTATAATTTCCTTCTCGAAAAGATGTTTTTTTCAAATTTTGTTAACATAACTGCTATTCTAAGAAATAATTAAAAAATGGGAGTTTTGTAATTCTAAAAAAAGGTACAAGATATTTTTGCTAAAATGAATTATAGAATATATAGCAGAGTATTAAGATAAACATTCTATCAAAAATATAGTCATCTCAATGTTTAAAACTATTTTACAATATTTTTCATTCTAGCTTAAAACTATATTTTTTTTCAACTTTAACACATTACAATCCTTAAAAAAATATTTATTTTCCTTATTAAAATTGGTTTCTATAGTTCTATTTAATAATTGCATATATTTATGTATTTTCTCTTATAGCTTATCAAATTTCTCTATTGTTAATTATTTTTATTCTATAATAAATTTAATTGCGATTAACTTTTTACTAGAGATTTTCATATTGTATTTAATTATATAACATTTGGCTCTTCTAACATATTTCTAATAAATTAGAATTGTTTTAAACCCATCTGAAAAAACTTTATTTATAAGTTAATTTCTTAAATTCTGTAATTAACAATAATTCTAGAGTTTAAAATTATTTTTTATATATATTCATCTTATTGATATTAATAACAGAAAAAAAATTTCATTCAATTTTCTAACTATTGCTGATTTTATTTGAAACCTTGAAATAAATAAAATATAACTTATTTCTCCTTTTGGTTAAAATAAAGTCAAGGTGAAAGCATCTTGAGAAATTGCTTGAATAGAGTCAGTATAGCTTCTGTTTATTCAATTAAATTGCTTGATTCAGTGGCTTTATCATATTTATTGTAGGCTGCTTCTTTTCACTTTCATGATTATTAGTACATTATCTACTTACTACATTATCTTATTCATAATCAGATAATATATCTGAATAATTATGAAGGTTCTCTTCTTGTTGCCTGGAACTATATAAATCAAATTCAGGTTGGCAGGGAGATCGATATTATGGATATCTTCATAATTATTTTTTGGAGACTTGAAAATTACTTCCAATTATAATGGTCCATAAGTGTTTCTGCAATCAGACTCTTTTAATTAATCAAATTTTATTATTCAATGCTACTTTCAAAAGAAATATTGATCTTTTTATTTTAATTTGATGATACTTCAGCAGGAATAATAGATGATAAATTACTATTCTTATGAGCAGTAATTTTGGATTTATGAAAACTAAAATAATTATTTTTTCAATCATTTTTTTTAGAGATCTTTTAGTTTAGATATTTTAAGATTATTCAAAAGTAGTGAAGTAATTTTTGTCAAATTTGAGTTCCATTATGTCGTATTATTTGTTATAATTGAATTCAATTTTTGAATTTTTTGGTTATTCAAATATTCGTTGATTTTGGTTCAATTCTAATTATATATTTCAATTTTTATTATTCATTCTAAGAATTTAAGATTGATAACCATTTATTATTATTTAACATATTAGGTGTTGATTCTTTGTTCTATTTTAGATCAGACAAATATTACATCTAATACGATTAATATTAATATGATAGAATTATTACCTGGAAATTGGAGAAATTAATGGAATTAATCATGTAAGTCTGTTTAGGTACATGGTATGGAGTATTATCTCTCATACTTATTGTTATTTGGTAATAAATTTAATTCATTCTAGGACATTTTAATCTATTGCTTTTTCTTGGAGAAGTTTAGATCGATTAAGTAAATTATCTGCTTAACTTACAGAACTTAAAATATCTAATTAAATTATTTTTAAATTAAATTAAGTTATAGTAATACTTATATTCGATCATTAAAGTATTCTATTAAAGCTTTTGATTAATTATGTGTTGATAAATTCTGTAAAATTTGCATTTAGTAACGATTATTCTTTCTTATTTTAATTTATAGAATAGACTTTTTAATATTCCTTATTCTATTTCAAGTAATTTGGATTATTATTTATCAAAAATTAATAACATCGTATTAATTTACCTAAAGTTCTTATAGTTCCTTATTGCTATTTTTTTAAATGAAGCATAATTATGATCTCAGTATACTCACAAATCCTCGACTCTATTTATATATTGTAAATTATTTAGGTTTGATATAAATTTAAAATAGTACAAGATTAATAGGATTGCATCCATACTTTCGATTCGAGTAATATCAAATTTTCGTTATTTTTAGGGATGTGAAATAAGAATTTGGTAATTAAAATCCTTAATTTTGGATCTTTTATTTTTATTTTACCTGAATTAATATTATTAGGTTGCATCATTCCTGTTTTCATATTTTTATTAATTAATAGAAATAATCTAGATAAATTAAACTGAGAAAACACACATTTGTTCTTTACTCAATGAATACTAGAATTAAAATAATTTTTGGGAATAAATCAAAAATTAAAAAACCTTTTACGATGCTTGCTTTGAATAAATTTTGAAACCAAAATTTGAAATTCAAATTTTATTCAAAGCTTACCTTTTAGGACTATGCTAATTAATTTATTAAAATTAGCAGTTAAATTAATTACCATTTATTACAAAATTTTTTAATTCTTTAAATTTGAAAGATGGTCGAATTTGTTCGATTGTAATTTTTCTGGCTGCGATCAAATATATATGTGAATCAAAAAATATCGATTATGCCTAAAATTAACGAATCTAATTCTCTAAAAAAGTTTTATTAAGTTACAGAATCAATTAAGTTAATAATTCAATTCATTATAAAGCCAAAGTAAATAATCAAACTATTGAATAAATCTTGTCTTTAGAACATCAATTATTTTCTGATAATTTTCAAAAAGTTCAAAGTGAGGCTAGATTATTGGTTAGTATTATTAAATCTTTTCTCTTTATTAGTTTTCAAAGCTTAATTTAAGCAATTTATAATCTTTGATTTAAGGATAAAATGGATTCTATTGGCGACATGACTTGCATAAGAGCTTTTAAAATCTTACTTATTTATAAATGAATAATGTAGATATACCCTTAAATAAAATTCATACATATATTCACGATTGGCTCCATTTTTCTGAAAATTATAAAATAAAATATTTTGTATATACTAATACTTCCATTGTCTCCTTTGATTAAATAACCCTTTCAATTTAATATAAATATAGACAAGACAACATTCTAATCCCAAAAGTTTCTCCTTTAATATCCAATATCTCGTTGTAAGTTATCTTACTTAAAATATTATTGAATCGTTTTATTTTTTATTTCAATATCTAGCCTTCATTCCTAATTTAAAAACTTCAATCTATGAAAATTTTTCATTTTTCTAATTACTCAAAGAACCTAAAATTTATTTGTTGAAAGATGATTCTGATAATTTAATATTCTTCGATAATATTAATACCCAAGATTAATCTACTTTTGGGAATGATCCAGAAATCGATTGAATTGATTTAAGTTCCATATTTTCTTTATGAATTTTGGGTTTGAGAAGAATCAAACACTTTACAATTAATCTGCTTTTGAAAATGATGAATGAGCTCTCCAAAAACTGATTAGCCATCCCAATTTCTATTTTAAAGTAATGAAATAGTATCATCTACCTATAACAAAGCCCTGAATTTAACCCAAATTTTTTTGCATATTCTACCACTTTGATCTTTATCTAAAAGATCAATACAAAATTATAAATGTTATACATTGGACTTTTTGTTGGATTTCTATTTGAAAAAAGAAAGAAAGAAAATGTAGCTCTTACTTTCAATCCATTTTACATTATTACAATTATTAAGTACTGAAGCAGATTTCGTCAAATCTATTGGTTAATTGTTAATAATTACAAGACCACAAGCAACAGAAAGACAAATGGCTAATACTAAATCATAAAGAATTTTTCATCTAATATTATTTTAATTTTTTGCAATATTAATATGTATTCTATATTCGTTATTCATCAATTAGTGTCTTCATCCTATTGATATCTCTACATGCAAAAAATTATCAATCACAAGCAACCAAACCTTTACAAATTCTAGTCCTCAAAAAAATAAGACTCGCTTCAATTTGTAGTCTAAAAATAAAAATTAGAATAATAATAATTCAATAATTATCTTAAAAACAAGAAAATGTATGATCTCCATGATTAGTACGAAGATCTCTCTCAGATTTTCGCTTAAGTTCAAGTTGCTGATAAAAGAATATACTCTTTGATAATTTAAATACAAAGAAAACAGAATCCTAAAGATTGGATGGAATTTCTTTCAGATAATGAAAATCTTAGACATCTAGAAGAGTAGATTTCATAAAGAGAGGATTCAAAACAAGAATAAAAAGAATAAAGGATGAATGTTATGAGAAATGATATCTAACTAATTCTTAAAGTCATTGTAAAAATTAAAGATCATGAGTTTAATAAATAAGACTATTCTGATTAACGATATTTCGAACAGAGAAAGGATCTAATAAAAATATTAAGAGAATAAAAGGAGATCATCGAATTTCTGTAATTCTTAGTTCACCTCACTGCTTATGATGAAAACTTAATACAATGTGGATCAAACTCACTAAATTTATTGGTTAATATGAAAGTCGACATTAGAAATTAAAATTTTGAAAACATCAGGATTAAGAATACTTCTTTATTGGGTGCTAATTTTGTTAGATGCAACTTAAGCGGATCATAACTGGATAATGTAGACATAAATGAAATGAATTTAAATGGAGCTATACTGCTTAATTGTAGATGGACCAACATTAAAAAAGAGGGTGAGATAAACAAATTAGATGGCCATACTGATAAGGTGAAATCTGTATGCTTCTCTCCTGATGGAAGTATATTAGCATCTGGTAGTAGGGATGACTCAATTCGTTTATGGGATGTTAAGACAGGACAATTAAAGAACATATTGGATTGCCAAAGTGGAACAGTCTAATCACTATGCTTCTCTCCTGATGGTACTACTTTAGCATCTGGTAGTTATAGAAAAATTTGTTTATGGGATGTTAAGACGGGATAATAAAAGAACATATTTTAGGGACATTAATGTTTGGTTTATTTAATATGCTTCTCTCCTGATAGTACTACATTAGCATCTTGTAGTTATGGAACAATTGGTTTATGGAATGTTAAGACAGGAAAATTAAAGAACGTATTGGATTGCCATTTTGGAACAGTCTATTCACTATGCTTCTCTCCTGATGGTACTACTTTAGCATCTGGTAGTGCTGATAAGTCTATCCGTTTATGGGATGTTAAGTAAGGATAATAAAAGGCCAAATTGGATGGTCATAGTGATAAAGTAAAATCAGTATGCTTCTCTCCTGATGGATTTACATTGGCATCTGCTAGTGCTGATAAGTCTATCTGTTTATGGGATGTTAAGACAAGGAAGAAAAAATCCTAATTGAAATTTCTTAAACTGACTGTCTGTTCAGTATGTTTCTCTCCTGATAGTACTACAATAGCATCTGGCAGTTATGAAGAAATTGGTTTATGGGATGTTAAAACAGGATAATAAAAGGCCATATTGGATGGTCATAGTGATAAAGTAAACTCAGTATGCTTCTCTCCTGATGGATTTACATTGGCATCTGCTAGTGCTGATAAGTCTATCCGTTTATGGGATGTTAAGATAGAATAATAAAAGACCAAATAGGATGGTCATAGTGATAAAGTAAACTCAGTATGCTTCTCTCCTGATGGATTTACATTGGCATCTGGTAGTGCTGATAATTCTATCCGTTTATGGGATGTTAAGACAGGATAATAAAAGATCAGATTGGACGGTCATATGAATTCAGTCAACTCAGTATGCTACTCATCTGATGGTTATACATTAGCATCTTGTAGTAGTGATACCTCTATCCGTTTATGGGAGGTTAAGACAGGATAATAAAAGTCCAAATTTGATGGTCATAGGGAAGCAGTCAACTCGGTATGCTTCTCCCCTGATGGTACTACATTAGCATCTGGTAGTAATGATAACTCAATCAGTTTATGGAGTGTTAAGATAGGTTAATAAAAGGCCAGATTGGATGGTCATAGTGATAAAGTAAACTCAGTATGCTTCTCCCCTGATGGTACTACATTAGTATCTGGTAGTAATGATAACTCAATTCGTTTATGGGATGTTGAGACAGGATAATAAAAGAACATATTTTTTTGTAAGTATTAAGATGTTTATTCAGTATGCTTCTCTCCTGATGGTGCTACATTAGCATCTGGTGGTTATGAAAAAATTTGTTTATGGAATGTTAAGAAAGGATAATCAAAGACCATATTGGATGGTCATAGTAGATAAGTCAACTCAGTATGCTTCTCTCCTGATGGAAATACATTAGCATCTTGTAGTTTTAGAAAAATTGGTTTATGGGATGTTAAGACAGGATAATAAAATGCCAAATTGGAGGGTCATAGTCATAAAGTAAATTCAGTATGCTTCTCTCCTGATGGTACTAAATTAGCATCTTGTAGTAATGATAACTCAATACGTTTATGGGATTTTACAACAGGATAATAAAAGCCTTAATTGGATGGTCATACTTATTCAGTTTTATCAGTATGCTTCTCTTCTGATGGTACTTCATTATCATTTGGTAGTGCAGATAAGTCCCCCTGTTTATGGGATGTTAAGACAGGATAATAAAAGACCCAACTGGATGGTCATAGTAGTTCAGCCAATTAAGTTTGCTTCTCTCCTGATGGCACTACATTAGCATCTGGTAGAGCTGATAAGTCTATCTATTTATGGAATGTTAAGACAGGATTATAAACAACCAAATTAGATGGTCATAGTGGAACAATCTGGTCATTATGCTTCTCTTCTGAAGGAACTATATTAGCATCTGGTAGTACTGATAAGTCTATTCGTATATGGGATGTTAAGACAGGATAATAAAAGTCATAATTTGATGGTCATAGTGGTAATGTTTATTCAGTATGCTTTTCTCCTGATAGTACCACATTAGCATCTGGTAGTGAGGATAACTCAATCCGTTTATGGAATGTTAAGACAGGATAGTAAAAGGCTAAATTTAATGGCCATAGCGGTTATATTTATTCAGTACGTTTCTCTCCTGATGGTACTACATTAGCATCCGGTAGTTGGGATAAATCTATCAGTTTATGGAATGTTAAAACAGGATAATAAAAGATCAAATTAGATGGTCATAGTAGTTAAGTCAATTCAGTTTGCTTCTCTCCTGATGGCACTACATTAGCATCTGGTAGAGCTGATAAGTCTATCCATTTATGGAATGTTAAGACAGGATAATAAAAGACCAAATTGGATGGTCATAGGAATTCAGTCAACTCAGTATGCTTTTCTACTGATGGTGCTACATTAGCATCAGGTAGTAGTGATACTACAATTCGTTTATGGGATGTTAAGACAGGATAATAAAAGACCAAATTGGACGGTCATAGGAATTCAGTCAACTCAGTATGCTTTTCTACTGATGGTGCTACATTAGCATCTTGTAGTAGTGATAACTCTATCCGTTTATGGGAGGTTAAGACAGGATAATAAAAGACCAAATTTGATGGTTATCGTAGTTTCGTTCTCTCAGTATGCTTCTCTCCTGATGATTCTAAATAAGCATCTGATAGTATTGATAACTCTATCCGTTTATGGGATGGAAAGTCAGGACAAGAAATTCAATCTTAAGATAAAAATTATAAAGCTATCTTTAATTCTTTTAAGACTCAACATATCGAAAACAGTCCTCTTCCAGGTATTAATTGTATCATATTTTAGGATCTACCAATCAAAATATTTTATAGATATCCCAATAAGCTATTTTTTAAGCATAGGACTCTTTTATCTTGAAAGGTGAATTTATAAATTAATAAGGGATCAACTTATTGCCCCTCTTGAGACAAAAAGGTAGTTGTATTTTGGAAAGCCAGTTAGGCTCAAATTAAAAATGATTATTAAGATTTCCATTACCAAAAATTATCTTAAATTTTTATTATATCTTTTATTCTGATATTAATTTCTATTTTTCAATCCTATAGAAGATCAATTGTTATCTCAAAAATTCTATCTACTTACTTAGCAAAAAATCCCTTTTTCAGTTTATTGATTTTAAGTTTTCATTATATTATGTTAAGATGGTTAAATGTCCATCTCTCTTCACAAATACATTATTTCCATAAGTGCTTTTATCTTTCTAGCTATCCTTTATTAGGTATATATTTAATTTTAAGATTACTCTTAATATATAATATATATAATATAATTAGA